GAGCCTATCATGGCACTGTATCAGTAGGTGATTCACTGTATGTGTGGGCTGGTAATCAGGATGGTTTACGTGGAGTACATGATAGTGAAGAGAAGAGAAGGTTCACTAGTAATATACAGCACTTTACTCCTTCAACTGGTCAATGGATCACTAGAGCTACTACTGGTACTCCTCCATTAGGAATCATTGGATACTGCTGTACTGCAATAGATCTATTGTATTATTTTGGGGGATGGTGTGGCCATGAAAATTGCTTTCACAACAGTATTACACAACTGGATACCGTTAGTCTTAAATGGAGAGAAATAGAACCAACTGATGCAACTAGACCAGTTATGAGGAAAGCTTATGGTGGAATGATATCATTTGAACATGATGGAGTACACCATTTACTAATGATAGGTGGTGGAGGATCTAAACCAGCTATAGAACTACCTCATTATAAATATATTGAGAAATCTAATAGAAAATGGCATACTAATGAGCACTCAATGTATAATCTATCATCAAGTAAGTTTAAAATACTGTTTTAAATTATGTTAATAATAATAATTTAGAAAGATGGAATAATCCTTCAATCGTTGGTCAGTGTATACCACCTGCTAGCCACTTTATTATCGAAAAGATCAACAACACTAGAGCTGTTCTGTTTGGTGGACGACTGACTGATGATGATGATGAGGATACGAAAACTAACAATATTTATATATTAGAGATATCAATCAGCACTGTGGTATGTTAAATTATGTGTCACACACACTCTAATATATAATGTCATTTATAATGGCTCTGGTTATTATATGTCATAATTTCGTTTTAGTTCTGGCAGTGTATAAAGAAACCTGAAGCAATAGACCAATGGCCTGTGGGTAGATGGGTTCATGCAGGTGCTATTATTATAACTGGATCAGACTGTCCTATGCTATTGATATGTGGTGGGGGAGATATAAATAATGATCCATTAGATGATTGTTGGATCTTTAACATCACTCAACATTCCTGGATAAAGGTATGTTAGATATTATTACCCGAGACCGCGTAGGCGTAGTCGAGGGTAAAGCAGTCGTCCTATCTGTGTGTTCGCTTTGACCTCCACTTTTGAGCTGACACTGCTTTCTTGTCTTGTCCTGGAGAGTCTTATAATCAACACTGGCTCTAGAAAAAGTTATTCTCCGTCTTGGGAATCCTTGATTTGTCTTTCCGTGGTAAAAGAAGTTGGCAAAGTCGCCAAACGTAGTTGGCTCTCGTGCAGCTCTTTCGTAGTAAAAGCAAAAGAGCAACAGGGCAGATAAAACAATAAAGCAAAGCCTCATCTTTCATTAATATGAGAGAAATTGTTCCAAACGTCTTCGTTTTAAAGATATGATAGCCCAAACTTTCATACCTTGTGAGTTTAGACGAGGCTCTCTTCTCCCGAGGTAGCGGCCAGAGTCTTTTAACATTAGGGACTAGATAGCAGTTTGTATGCAACAAATAGAGCCTAACAAATGTATGCTAAACTGTTTAAAAGTCGAGAAAAACCAAAGCTTTCTTCGCCACATAGGGCCATGTGCCACCATTTACTGTGTGTGGGGGTGGAGCATGGCTTGATTGAGCCACACCTTCATTGCAGCCACACCTTAATTACATTACTGCAGCTAGCTAGCAGCAGTGCAGCAAATATGCTGGAGCTCTTTTTCTAAAAAAACAAAAAATTCTCTGTCTGTCTCAAAACATTCACTAAGTTTTAATAAATCTAGTACATGCTGAAGCTTCTTCTCTGTCTCAAAACTTTCACCAATTATTTTCTCTTAATTTATTGAAACTGTTACATACAGATTGTGTCGAGGGTATGCACTTTAGTGCTCTCGTTATATAGGCGGTAGCCTATATGTAGGATTCAGGTGGATTTTTCAAGATGGCGGCTGTTTTTATACTTTTAAAACACTTATAACTCTTTTATCTTACGTTGTACAGCCTTATAAATGGTTTAGATGAGCTCTCCATCAATGAGTGATTCTCCTGGTACCTTTAAAGTAAACTGTAATGTAGCGGGAGCATTTCTGGAGAACTAGTCTTTTCTAGTCTTTTCCATCTTTCATCTCAGTTCTTCTATCGGGAGGATAATCATTTAAACCAGAGAACTGCTCGAGTTGGCTTTTACATCACTCCTCTGGGCTTGGATCAAGGACCACAAAGGTAGTTTCTAAAAGAAGCAAGGGCAGACAACAAGATGGAAGACAAAATCCAGCTACTAGCCATTAGGGAGAGATTGTTACCATCCCGTAAACTATCCGTCAACGGACTTTTACAGGCTTCGCCTGTATACTACCTTTTACAATATAAAAATTAAGTATAGATACTACAATCAGTGTGGTTGAGGCAGCAGGATCGTTGTGGCTCAGTGGGGAAGGCGTGGGGCAGAATGTGGACGTGGTACTGGTTCGAATCCAGCTCAGGGCAGGGCAAAATGCTTTTCTTTTTTTTTACTTTCAAAAATTTAACTTTTTACCTTTTCTACTTAGCCTTCTCCCCTAGTTATGTTAGGAGTCTAGTTAGCTATTGTTTTTTGGACTTAGCTATTGTTTTTAGGGTTTAGGGGTTAGGGTGGCGGTTTTTTTTAGAGCGTCCCTACTCAATTTAGGAGCCCCCTAGTTGATTTATGGTTTAGTTTTTTTTTTTAGAGAGTCTCAAGGCTTTAAAAGTCTCTAGAGCAGTCCTGACAAAAACTAAGTTCCATTTTGCACCGATGCGCATGCGCACAAACTTGTTTTACGGACATTTACGGGATGGTAACAATCTCTCCCTAACGGCTTTTATCCAGCTGCAGACACCGTGCCGTGGGTTTGTGGTTTGACG